TTGTTTTGATTAAAATAAATTATTGTTGGGCTTTGGGCCGATATGAAATTTGTTTTGACATCTAATATCAAAATCTGGATAAGTCTCATAGAGATAAATCCAATATGTGGACTATTTGTGTGGTCTTGATTGGGAACCTGAGTACAGACCCAAATCAAGAGTAAATAAAGAATTTGTTTAGAATGTAAATATTGAAATGATTTGTTAAAATAAATCATGAGAATAATTGATATGAATTAAATAAGAGAACCTTTTATGAGAAAAGTCAATTAAACCAATTTTTACTCTATCAAAGTCAACCACCCAAAAATATGATGTCGGAAAAAGTATAACGAATGAATATAAAAATTATATCGTTGGATAGAGTTTGACTGTCTGATCGCAACGGTGCAAACGGATTTTAATTCGAAGAGAGTTGGACCAAAAAGTGTATCCCGACTGGAACCAAAATTGGTCCCAATCAGGACACTGTGCGAACGGCGCCTCCCAGCGCACTAAGCCTAGCGTGAATCGTCAATGACTCAGCAACTGCGTCTCCTTCTCCTTCCCTTCCCTATATAAGAGTATCATCAACATTCTCATTCTTCACCAAAACTTACAATTTTAGTACCATTGTGTTCATAAGAGTGAGGAGAGCAGTCTGATATTGTTGGTTGCCACCGAAGTCGCCGGAGCTGAGAGTAATCGTCGCTGGAAGTTTCGCCGGAAAATTCTCAAAACCTTCGATAAGCTTCGAGGTAAGCCCGTAGATATATCTAGTGACTAGAATGTTCGTATAGATCGTTTCTACGTTCATAAACGGTCGTTTGGTTGAGTTTTGTGTTTGACATGCTTGAAAAATCAAGAATCATAAACCTTGAAATTGATGTTAAAACTATAAATTAGTGATGCTAAAATGATCTATGAACCTTGGATAACATCTCTATATAGTTTCGTTGAAGTTCGATAACTAAAAACGGTATTTCCGAAATTGGACCCGAACGAAGAAGAAGATGAATAGTGGCTGAAACACCACTGTCTGGATCGATCCAGGGGCTTGGATCGATCCCCTGGGAGTGATTTTTCATAGTTTGGATCGATCCAGAGGGCTGGATCGATCCCCCGAATTTCTGATCCGAAAATTTGTCTGAAAATGCTATTTTTGAGCCCTAAAATTCTATTTTTGATACCAATTGATTATGATTATTTTAAGGATGATTATTTATAATAAAAATGATGTTTTTAACAAATAAAAATGTTATGTGATGCATGACGGTAAGTTCGGGTGTTAACATTCGAAGCTAGGCCGCTATTTGTTATCAATTGTTATGTTGATTGATGATTATGATGGATGATCAGGAATGATGAACTTACTTATTAAAATGATTATTGATGATTGAACCATGAGTAAAATGAATATATTGATAATTATTAAAAGATTTGTATTGTTAACGGTATCTAGAAGAACTCTAAGATATACCCATTAGTTAATTGATGTTAAGGCTATCTAGAATAGATCTTGTATTAGAATAGACTTATGAAAACATGAATATTTGATGAATTAGATGAAATTGTATAAACGGGATTCGTAGACCAAAGTAGAGGATTACTCGTTTGGGAATGTCCGATCCAATGTTGATCAATCGCTATATTGTTGTTGCCTTAACCGACTACGGTTAAGTGTCTGAATCGTTTGCCTTAAACTAGTGATAGTTTAAGTGTCTGATTGCCTTAACTGACTACAGTTAAGTGTCCGAAATAGTTTGCCTTAAACTAGTGATAGTTTAAGTGTGTTATTGCCTTAACTGACTACAGTTAAGTGTCCGAAATCAATTGCCTTAAACTAATGATAGTTTAAGTGTCTGATCAATAATTACCTTAAAAGAATCTGGTTATGGAAGTTATGATTTGGCCTTAGACTAAGAATAGCTAAGAGCATTATTATGATCTGGCCTTAGACTAAGAATAGCTAAGAGCATTATTATGATTTGGCCTAAGACTAAGAATAGTTAAGAGCATTGTTATGATCTGGCCTTAGATTAAGAATAATTTAAGAGCACTATTGGATTAATATCTGAATTGAATAAAATGTGTTGATATGAACTGAATAATATCAAAACTGTGAATGTCTGAAACGAACATTGTGTGCATGATATCAAAAGATTTGATTATGAATTTAGATTCATTTTATATGGATGTTCGACGCATTAGATATGCTTACTCAGCTTTACCGCTGAGCGTGTAGTGTGTTTTATTTGCTACACGCAGGTAAACAGAAAGATTATTGTGATCCTGGGGGCAGATGGGGCGAGATTGTCAGGATGGATGTGACAAGTTTGAAATGATTTATGATATGTAAAAATTAAATTCGCTTCCGCAATATTGTTGAATACTCCGTATTGTATATGTTATGAAAAATTATTGGGATTAATAAAGTGTGTTTGAAAAGTTTTAAATTTTTACGATTACCAAGTTAATACTTTAGTCCGGAAGGGGCTGCAGACCTGGACGGATTAGGGTGTTACAGAGATTCTCACCATAGACCTTGAAAGTCTTTTCTTCTCAATAGGCTTCTTCCATTGCCGTCTATGAGGGTGAGAAAGAAAAATTTCTCCATTGAGGATATTTTTCTTGGTGTGTTTCTTAGACAGTGAGTTTGAGGACTTTTCATATTGAAAGAGCTGTTTGTGATAGGAATGGATTGAGATATCTTGATTTAAATAAGAGAGGAGGTAGAGAGAGGGGAGGTTCACGGGTTCCATTAATTGGGTAGGTGGAACGGTGAGAGTAAAAGAGTTTCAACTTCCAAGAAGTTGAAAAGTGGAAGAAATCTTTTACCAATTACCAATGAATTGAAACCGTTCCAATTTGAAAATCAGTTTCGTTTGGTTTGAGAATCACAACTGTTTTAGTTTGGCTAAGCCCAAAAGAGTGGCCCAAAAAGAAAAGAAAGCTATGTACTAAAGGGAAATTATTCCTATTGGGTTCTCAAGGCCCAAAGTAAAACTATCATTTTTCATTCTCTATAGTTCTAATTTCTACTTAGGACGAGGTAGTACCAAAACAAATATGAATATTATTTTTAAAAGAAAAATGGTACTATTTTTCCAAAGTCCTGTACATTTTAAAAATCCTAGGGACCCATACTTTTAGAGCTTGTTGGAAAAGAATTAAGGACTGAAGCTTAGTTTAAGAAGGTAGATTTTGTAAAGTACCTGAATCGGAGATTTCCAATTTTAGTACCAAAACTGAGATATCCGTCTTCCATTGCTTAGAGTTTATCAATATTTCATTGCCAAAAAATATTTTGTTAGCCAAAAACTAGTTAAGTTCCCCCTGAATGTATGCGCTAAAATAAATATCAAAAACATACTTGAATTAGGTATAATCAAGCATAGTGAGCACAATTAAGAGAAATATTAGGGCAATGTTTAAACCAATAGAGCAATGTTTAAACAAGAAGGTGTTTTCATCAAAGCAAATTAATGTTTTCACATACTTTCCTCCTGATTTGATGAAGAAAACCTTCAGTGCTTCTTGCGCTTTGAAGATTCGGCAATCTCCCTGATGCCTTGCATGCTTCCACATAGTTCCTTGATGAGCCTTATGTTGTTTCGTCTCTCCTCTGTTTGATTTTCATTTGAGAAGTGAGCATCAATTGTTCCTACAGCCTCTGTTCCATCCAATCCGGAGCTGGATAAGCGCTGTGTTGAGTTTTCCGGATTGTTTCTCTGAGCTTCAAGGACTAGATCAGTCAAGTTTAGATGCGTAGGAATGTAAGAGACTTCTCCTTCTTTGACTGCAATGGGGAGCTCTGGAATCAAGGATGGACTGTGTTGTTGAAGAACCACATCCATCTTGCGATTTCTAGAATTTGTGGTAAGAAGTCTGAATACTTTGTGTGCTTCCTTCTGATTGTCAATGATTACTTTCAAGTAGTCTTTGGTTACTACTTGATTTGCTGAAGACACTGCCAGAGCTGCTCTGATGTCCATTTGGAGAATGGACATTTGTTTTTGTAGACTGATTGTGACATTTGCTACTTGCTCTTTGATATTGTTAGCATCTTTGAGTTGAAGATAATTATCAGATGCATATGTCTCCATCGTGTTGCTCACAGTGTTACTCAATAGAGATAAGATCTCTAGAGTCTTATCCACTGATTTGCTTATCTCCTTGAGATTGGAGCAATGTGTTTCTTCGGATTTCTCAATCAGTTTGTTTTGCCTGGCTTCCATCTGCTCTATCTCTTGCCTAAAGGAGGCATGTTGAGATGCTAGGGCTGAGTCAATCAGCCCTTGGACCTTCTTTGTCCAGATTTCCAGTACCTCATCCAGAAGAGTAGGAATGGAAGAGCTATGAAAATGGAAGTTGGTTACCTGATGAGAAGAGAGAGTTCTTTGGAAGAGTTGCAGAGGAAGAGATTCAGCATCATCTTGTACATCTTCTTCATCATTGATCTTCAGGGTCCTTTCAGATACTTCTTCTGCTTCCCTAAGTGTAAAATTTGATATATCCCGAGAGAGGGAGTCTCTTTCTTATGCTTCGTTCTGTCCTTCAAAAATGGCTACTGGAGATTTGGAGGCCTCCAGTTCTGCCATTTGAGTTTCCTTCTCAGCTTCTGCAGAACTTCTCTGGGTTTCTACAGCTTGCTCTTCTTGAGCTTCATTTGTTTCTGGGGTTTTGGACATCTCCAGATTTTCTGTTGACTCCTCTGGGATCTCTGCTTCAGTGGGGTTGGTGATTTCACAAGGGTTTGTGAGAATTTCTAAAGCTTCAGAATGGAGAAGTTGCTGGAATTCTACATTTGATCCTTCCTGGTTCTGTTTTGGTGTAGAGACTTCAGCTTCAGGTGGAACAGTTTCAAAGGCAGATGAGGCTTCCGGAAAGATTTGGAAATCCTCAGCTGTTGTTTCCAAGTTAGCTTGTGCTTAAGAAGAGAGAACCACCTGATCTTCTGTGGGTTTTGAGAGGACTGGTTTGTATACTGCAGGATCCTCATCATCCACTTCAAACTCTGAAATTGGTGAGGTGACCAAGTGTTCCAGATGCAAATCTTCATAATTCCTTTGCCATACCCAGTCAACATCTAGCTGCACCCAAGGACTTCAAGATATGTCCAATGTAAAGACCTTGACAAAGGTATTTCTGGTTGGGTTTTCCCAGGTGCTTTGAGATGGAATTGAAGAAATGAGCAGCCCAATTTACCTTAGACTTGGTAATGAGGGCATTGATGATGAAGGCCCTCTCTTGGGTGATGTCATCAGCATGTCCTCCACTTCCACATTCGAGGCATGCGATAATCAGATGAGCTTTCTTCGCTGGGCCAGATAGATTTTGCCCAGAAATTCCAATAACGCTCCAATCCAGATTTTTGGCTGGAAGTCTCTCAATTTCAACTCCAGAGTTGGGAAGGTGAAGCTTTTCTCCCAATTTCTTCTGCGAAAGCTTCACTTTTGTCCCTCCAACAGTGGAATTGATGAGTTGAATCGTCCTTTGTGGGTCTTTCTTCGATTTGACAGTCTTGACCTTTCCATTTTTATAGAATTCAAGAACTTCGTTCTCATACTTGAATCGAATCTCCATATGAAGAAATTCGGAGAGCTCTTGAGCAGCAATCATCTCCAGATAGGATTGATAGAACATTGATGAGGAGCACTTGGCTTCCAACTTCTGGAAATGGATATTAGCGCCAACAATCTTCATTTTCTCGGAAATTTGAGAAGATCTGAAGAAATTAGGGTTCTTGAGAATTTTATCAGAAGATTCTCGTGAAGAAGACGATGAAAGATTTGAGTGGGCTGAGTGGGCAGTTGAGGTCAGATTATAGTGACGATTGGGTTTAATGTGGGCGATTTATGCGGCTAGTGCCGATTGGGTTTTTAACTGTTCCCAAGGCCACGTCCCCACCCACCATTTTGACAAACGTGGAAAATGAACTGCCACGTGTACCACACTTAGTCTAATTGAATTAGACCAATTTTGTGAAGCAAATCGGAAAACTTGGCTTCACTTAGTGGGTTGGTGAAGATATCCGCCAGTTGTTCTTCAGTTGAGATATACTCAATTTTGATATCTTTCTTTTCCACATGCTCTCTGATGAAGTGATGCTTGACATCAATGTGCTTAGTGCGAGAATGATGCACTGGATTTTGTGAGATGGCTATTGCACTTTGATTGTCACAGAAGATTGTCACTTCCTTTGTCTTGACTCCATAGTCCAGTAGTTGTTGCTTCAGCCACAGAATTTGAGCACAACAACTACCAGCAGCAATGTACTCTGCTTCTGCTGTAGATGTAGAAATGGAGTTTTGTTTCTTACTGAACCAAGAAACAAGATTTCCACCAATGAATTGACAAGTACCAGATGTACTTTTTCGGTCAACTTTGCATCCGGCAAAGTCAGAATCTGAGTATCCCACTAACTCAAATGAATTGCTTTTATTATACCACAAACCCATGTTCTGAGTTCCTTTGAGGTATCTAAGAATTCTTTTAGCTGCTATCAGAAGACTTTCCTTTGGCTTTGACAGGAATCTGGCACAAACACCTACTGCATATGAGATATCCGGACGGCTTGCAGTAAGGTAGAGTAGAGATCCAACAATTCCTCTGCAGAGAGTTTGATCTACATCCTTTCCATCTACATCCATATCAAGCTTGGTGGATGTACTCATGGGGACAGAGACGGATGACTTCTGGTCAACTCTGAATTTCTTGATAAGATCCCTTGTGTACTTGGGGACAGAGACGGTAAACTCCATCTACATCCTAACGAGGTCTTGTCAGAGCCGAGCCATCTTTTTGGCCTATACGGTACTCCCTAACGGTAGGCTGTACCGTGGTCATGGTACCTAGGTACTAGACGGTACTGACCCTACCGTGAAGGGTACCGTATCCGTTATCAGCACTGTAGCAAATTGCCAATTTAAATTTAAATCAATCCTAATCACCTCCCAACGGCTAATTAACATCTTCCACTATAAATACAAGCCTAATCCTTCATATTTCTTCAAGAAACAAAGCTCTAAACATCCTTTCTTTATATTCTAAGTGTGTTCATTCCTTTATTCATTATTTTCAATATTTTGGCTATTTTAAGAGCCTTAAATTCCTGATTTTTATACACACACTTTGAGCTTGTGTTTCTAGTTATATACTCCCATATTCATAAGTTTGAGTTGTATTTTTTAGAGAGTATACTTTCCTTCTACACCGGCTAAGTTTTGTTCTTCATTTTAATATTCTAGCCGTTGTGTAGAATCTACTTTTGTGTTCTTCAAACACACCTTCTTACGGTCGAGAATAGCCGTTAAATTCTCACGTTGTAACAGTCAAGGATAGCCGTATAAATCCTTGGGTAAAGGTTCAAAGATAGCCTTTGAAATCCTTAGGGGAACGGTAGAAGATAGCCGTAAAATCTTCATTGTAAATGGTTCGAGATAGCCGTTGTGAAATCTCAGTTGAGTGAATCCTATTGGCAAGGGTTGTTTGCCAAACTAGTGCGGTGCTTTGACGGAGTTCAAGAGACCGAGACTTAGTGGATTCGGAAATCCTTGAGGAGGAGCCTCGAGGTACTGGAGTAGGGAGTTCTCGAACCAGTATAAATTCGGTGTGCATTTTATTTACGCTTTTATTTTTGCGTTTTATATATTGCTTCCGCATTTGCCAACACCGTTTTCATTAAACTCCGAAAAGTTTTCAAACACCTTATTCACCCCCCCTCTAAGGCATGGGCACAATGACTAAACCGAATAACAATTGGTATCGGAGCGGTTTCGTAGTTGAAAGTGCTTAACCGCATGTAACACCCTAATCCGTCCAGGTCTGCAGCCCCTTTCGGACTAAAGTATTGATTTGGTAATTGTGATAATTTAAAACATTTCAAACATTTTTATTTATAAATAATATTCCATACATAATTGTAGAAAATACAGAGTGTTTAATAATAATGCGGAAGTGACTTTTAAACATGTCTCATAACAACATAATTATTTATTTTGTTCAATGATCCACCACAACTGTCTCGCCCCTTCTGCTGCCAGGAATCAGCCAATCATTCATTCTACCTACCTGCGTG